GGGCAAGCAGATTGCAAGAGATTGTATAAGCTTGTCTTCATATTTTCAAGACAGTAGATAGACAAAATATGGTTGCAAAAGCAGTGGACTTCAGTGGCAGAGGACAAATACAATAATACAATTTCCCTGGGGAATTTCTAATAGCGACGTGTGAATTAATATATCCCCTTATTTCTTATCTTTTATGATATATAGATGGGGAAACAAACGTGTGATAGTAGCACAGAATACCTTCAACCGGAATGTTGCCCTGATAAATGCACACTGACATACAGTTTTAATTTGTTTGTTCTTGACTGGGAATCACAGCATGCAGAATCTTAATGAGCCATGGGGTAGCGATCACCAATCCCAGACACGTTTATCTTGCATTGTGTTTGTGGCAGCTCTTTAGTTTGGGTATATCGGTACCCCACTCTGAGAGAGTTTTTCGGTGGCTTCATAAAGGTATTGAGGTTATTACTGCATGCTCATGCTGTTGCTGGACAGTAGACATTTGGGTGATTCTGATGCAGTTAAGTTCATTTGTTCCTCTGTGTTCTGAGAAGCCAGTAAATAAAACCTCACCTACTAGAGAAGCTTTAAATAAGGCTGTCAGATAAGAATCCAATTTTCATACAGGTCAGGTACCATTTCCAGTTTTGTTTGAGGCTGAGATGGAGTTAGTGCCTGGATTCTCAGGTGATAACATTCTACAAAGTGATCTTTTCATGTATCTGCCCCATTGTGGAAATCTGACATGACTGTTTTTTCCTGAGACCCTACTGAGCCATTTTGCTGTCCCACCAGCTCGCCATAGAGCTCAGTGTAGAGGAGGATTTGGCTCAGTGTTACGTTATATCCTGGCTCCGCCAGGAAACAGCTACTAAAATTAAGCTGTGGTTCAATTTGTTTGTTTCCCCACTTGACTTCTCCCTTTAGCTAGCCTTTGATGCAGGCCTAATTATTCTCAGTAGATACGTGCCATGTCGAATTTCCTGTACTCAGTAAGATAAAATTCCTGCCAGCTTGGAACCATGATTTTTCATTTTATCTTCTCAAGCTTTTCACATAGTTTGGAGCAGGCTTGCAAGATGCGGGGAAGGGAGGGGTGGAGTTTGACTGCCGAACTGAGATTCTCTCTGCTGCTCAGAGCTATCCTGGGTGCTGTTACATAGGCTGTATTCTAACACAGTTGTTTTGAAAGTTACTTGTCTCCTTGCTATCCCTTTAGTGACTCCTTTGTTGTAAGAAATAGAAGCTGCTTGTTTTCATTCTCAGGGACCTCCATGCCTAGTGGAACTGTCTTTGTGATCTCTCACAAGAATGTCCAGTGGTCGATATCTACTTCCCGTCAGTTCATCATGACAGCAAACATTGCTCACTCATTACATTTTCAAGTCTATTTGTTCTTCCTCACAAGCTACCCTTACACTCTTGGAGGAACTCTTCATCTACATCCATCACTATATTTCCTTGATGTCTTTCAGTTCCCCATTAAAAGTTGCATTTGTCTACAACAAACTGATGATTAAGCATAGACTGCTGGCTGCTATTCACTCATTGTTTCCTTCTAAGTTGCTATCAGTCTGTTGTCTGTCTTTCTGTATTTTTTCATAAGCTTTTGGATGCAGAAAAAGGGGAATCAGGTCTTTTTTCCCTATGTTTTTAAAACTCTAAATATGACAGAATTACTCGAATTTCTAGGCTGTATGCATGATAAGCACAATAAATAACAATATGGCATATCACTTCACAGAGTAAGTTAACCTTATGTATTCAAATGCTCAGTTGTAGTAAATGAACATAGCTCCTTCCAGCCAAATGCAACTCTGGCCCAGGGTATTTGCCTTCTACGTTATTATTTTTATTATGGGTCCAGATGATAGCAGTTTAAATAAAGTACTGAACTCATCTATTTTATTCTTAATTTATAGTGGTGCTTAGGGGATATGCAGATACTTAAAAAGAGTAAAATCAATTAACTTGTGATCCAATTATTTGTCTTAGCCACTATGGGGTTTTATTTTAGAGCACTGGATCAGACTCTCCCAGTTAAGCACCGTGCTTTGAGAATGTAAACCTTTCATTTTGAAATATGATGAACCTGTGGTTATCTTTTCTCTATTTGCAAATCTAATTCCTATTTTTGTCCTTTCATAGTTTTGAATTCCCTTCTTTACTTTTGTTTTTGAAAGGGACACCATATAAATATAACAGATTTTTCTAAATACTAGGAAGACTGTTCTTTGTATAAAGGTGGCTGAACAGGCAAAAGAGTTCACCTTCCAGATAATACACCCTGTATTTTTCTGGGCCTATTTCACAGTAGATACTTGTCTTTTGCAATCACAAATCTGTGATTTATTCACTTTTCACATTATAAATTTAGAGAAGACCCATGTGACAACTTCTGTGATTTGATCATTCTGCTTTTTCATCCATCTTGAAGAGATTTTAGTCTAATGTTCCAGACAGCTTCAAATACCCTCTGTGTTTACATGGTCATTGCTAAAATGCAAAGAATGCTAGGGGTGAGTGTACCACTATGCGTGGAATTATTTGGCTTGGCACAGCCTTTGCTTGTAGACGTTGTCATTTCCTTGATCTGCAGGTGTCAGAAGCTCTGCAGTTTTATGCCCCCAGCAGGTCTATATGCCCTTTCTGCACTACTAACTCACTGCAATTGAAGCTACTGAAAGCCCTTCCTAAATAAGGAGAAAATAGGAACGCAAAAGAAAGCCAACCCCAGCTGAGATATCCTTGAATTAGATATCCTTAAACTGACATTCAATATTTTTTTAACTAGCTGGCACATCATGGCAACCTTTTCCATCATAGTCTGCCACTGGTGGGGTAAGCATGATAAATTTATCTCACTGGCTTCACAATTACATATCTGAATACAATAGCCAGATCTTTAAATAATTTTACCTAACAGGTCTTAATGTTCCCAAGGTGATCCAGGGAGTATTGAACACTTAATTGAATCAGACTAGTGGATTAAGGAAAAGATTTTTCAGAAGGGTCGATATGAATTAGGAGCAGATGCCCAGTCAAATCTAAGGGTTAGATTCTTTAGGATTAGGTTGCTTGAAGTCTAGTCACCTTTTTACGTAGTTAAATAGGAATTTTTTGGTACTGAACACTTGTTGGGAAAAATTCTGGCCCTTATGGTTCTGATGTTTCATTTTGTACTTGCTCAAGCTGAGACAATATGAAATAATACAAAAATATCCATCAGGCTAATCGCTTATTTTCAATTACCGTAAGAGGTGTCCGAGTGTGCTTCCAGTGACAGCATTTTGCTGATCAGGAAGAAATACAATTTTGGTAATCATTCCTCTGTTACTTCCAAGATTCTTAATAGAGCTTTTCTTTTGATTTGTTTCAAAGCAAGTGAAAATATTGTTATATTATCATTTAGAGTTAATTAAACTGCAAATGAGCTTAATGATCGGGCTGAAACAAAGCTCAGTCACAACCTGTTACATATTAATAATCAAAATCAAAAGAATCTTTACATTCTTTGTTAAACATACCAAAGAAGAGAGAAATAGCCATTAATTAGTGTCATCCTTTTATAAAATCAAGTTTGAGGCTGGAAAGCTTGAACTGAATACATACACTCAAAATATACAGCTAAATTGAAAAAGGGCTTGAAAACATAAGTCAAATCTATTGGAAGAAATGAAAAAAAAAAGATAAGTGAACACAGGAAAAGACATAGTTATCTCCTCTGTATTTTACTATGAGAAAATCCATCTTACCTACTGTTTGTCCAGAAATCTATATATTAATAAAATGCCATTTTCTGGATTCAGTATTCTCACAAAGTCTTCTGTAGTGTTATGACTTCATGTGGTCTATAAGACAGAACAAAAGACAGTCTATTCAGGTCTTGAAGCCACTTGGGTGATTTTTTCCCTTGAGTGACATAATGTCACCAGCAATGTAGCTTTTAAGCAGTGCACGTACGGCAAAGCCTATTTGTGTCATTAAAGTTTGTGATTTTGAACTTTTGAACCCTTAATCCCTAGAAATGCTAAGATTTCCTAATGATCTATAATGGTACTGCTGATGTTCAGCACTTCTCAGGATTAGGGACGTTATCGTTCTGGTTTATCCACCTATAAAGCAGGTATTATCTTATCACTCTTATATACAGTGCTTTCAGCACGTCAGCCTCAAGTACTTGAAAGGTGAGGAGTATTATTAAGTCTGACCCTTACAAGCTTTTCCAATGATTTGCTTAATGTTTTTGCTACATAAATAAGAATGATGTTATACACTGTTTGTCTGGATAGTAAATTAGAGAGGATTTTCTCATAGGACTTGGCTAGCTGAATAGTAAAGCAGTGCAACAAACTTCACAAGGTCATAAAAAATTCTTCCACTGAAAAAAAGAAAGTAACAATGACTTATAAGTATACAGACAAAGTGGTAGCATGAGGTCCAATTATTTTTGAGTCTCTTAGAGCAACCCCTCCAAAAAACGGTATGGGAACACTTTTTGTGAAAAATGTTTTATGTATTGATAACAGTGTAGTGAAAACTTGGGGTAATTTATGAAAATAATAGTCTGAAATGCAAAACTGGATGATTTGTAAGTAATAGTACATTTGAGAGCAAGAATGGGCTATGTTAGTCAGCTTCCTCTTCTGCTTAGTATAGTTCCCTTTCTGATAGCATATGCGCCTGTGCAAGACTGTATGTAATTTCAGGATTCACTTTTCCAGTAATATGAGATGAACTGTCATCTTGTGATCAGAATCTTCCAAAGCTTAATTCCTATCACATTGCTGCTTATCTGCCATCTATTTAATGGAGAGCAGCTGTAATGTGCTACCTTATATTTAATGAGTGAGAATGTATGATTTGGAGCCTATAACATTCAGTTTCAGTCAAGGATTACATCTTTCTCGTGTTGTGGTAAATAATTAATGCTGGCCTGCATTTCGTGTGTGTGTGTGATCATTAATTGAAAATAGTAACAATTTCCTCTATGGTTTTTTTTCTAGTTTCAAGCCACAGTAAAGGAGGGAGTCACAGGTGTAATAGTAAACTTAACCGTTGGTGACCGAGATGACCCAGCAACCGGAGCATGGAGAGCTGTCTACACAATTATTAATGGAAATCCAGGGCAGAGTTTTGAAATCCATACCAATCCCCAGACTAATGAGGGAATGCTCTCTGTTGTCAAAGTAAGAACAATTTGCTGTTGTACTGTATCATTACTGTAAGGTCCATCCGCTGGATTTACTGCATAAGAGAAAGCACAGCCAGGATAAATTACTCAGAAATATATAGTTGGCTAGCAGCCCTTGTCCAAACAATATGTATAACCCCTTCTTCTGTCACAGTAACCTTACTTCTTTAGTCATAAGGACCTGACTGTTGCTAACTATATTGCCACTGTGCTTAAATAACAGCTAGTTTTGCAGTAAGCATCACAATTAATAGTGAGACTTTACAACACAGTTTTGTTTGTGACTGAGGCTACAATTAGAATTCAAGCGCCACATTTTCTTGTCAGAGAACACAGATGCAAATACGAGGGAAGTAAGGGATGTGGCTTCAGACTGAACTGGAGAGCCGCCTTTTTTCCCACATTTCTAAAGTTTCATGAAAACATTTATTACCTGTCTTTGTATGAAGATAATCCTATATCCCACGTTTAAAAAAAAAAGAAAATAGTCCTGGTGGCTGCCTGTACCAAAATTTTCTCTGTTTGACTTCAGAAGAGGTATTTTCAATTCTAAAGACAAATGGAATGTTTTTCCGTGACAGTGCTTTTCATTTCAAGGTAGAGCTGAGAAAATAGCCTTATCTTACTTATTATAAGTAGTTAGTAAGTATGACTCTGATTTGTTTACTAAATGCATACTACATCATAAATAAGCATGTATATATGAAAATTAAATTATACCTATGAGGTATGGCAAAAAAGTACATGATCTTGGATAGAGGGGCATCTCCATCTTTCATTAAGTCCATCAAGTTCATTATCTTCAATGCACTTTGTAACAACCATTGCATCTAATGCTAAACTCTGACCAAGTATCAGATGTGAGGAATGTTATTGTCCCTTTTGGGGACATTCTAATGGCTAATTTTCTCTTCTGCAAGTTTGCAATGGGGGTACAAGGAAAAAGTGATAAGTACTGGTTTTGCACCTTGCACTCTGATTTGATGATATGTTTTACAGCCTTTAGACTATGAGATTTCGGCATTTCACACGTTGCTGATCAAAGTAGAAAATGAAGACCCACTAATTCCAGACATAGCCTATGGCCCCAGTTCCACGGCAACAGTTCAGATCACTGTTGAGGACGTGAATGAAGGCCCAGTTTTCCACCCAAACCCAATGACAGTGACAAAACAAGAAAACATCCCTATTGGCAGTGTTGTGTTAACGGTAAATGCCACTGATCCAGATACTTTGCAACATCAGACTATCAGGTGAGTGCGGTACCCTCTAATTTTCATCCATCAGAAAGTGAGTATGTCTTTTGTGCCTGAGAATTTGCCTGCCAGTACAGAATTAAATTGAAGTTGTTTGGGCTCTACGTAATATGTGGCAATTTTTTTTTCCTACAATGAAGAGATTCAGTATGATGAAAACAAAGAACTGCATTAGACAGGGGACAATAGTTTTCCAGGCTATGGGATTACTGCAGTAGAACAATCGAGTGTCAGGAGCAATAGACATAGCTTTACATGGTGTTTCAAAATTACTTTTAACCAGCTTGTTTATTCCTCTTCCTTCATGAGAGCCAGAGAAAACATGTAAAAATTGAAAATATGTATAGAAATTTTATGTTTTACATATGGATTAATCGGTTTATGATCATTTATAATGTCCCTCAGTGAAATAATGACCGTCCGTCCACATTCAAGGGCTGGGAAAATATTTCCCAGTGAGACACTGAAGCTACTGTTAGCTAAGACTTGGCCTTGCCCAGATAGATGAAAGTAAATTATTATTTCTGTGCTATGATAATGTAATCATTATCAATCCCACATATGTGCCATGTCACAAGGAGCAAACCTAGGTGTTAAGTGGTGTCATCATCTTATAGTTTGATCCACCTGGTCTGGTCTTTTGTTTTTAGCTTTGTTGAAAAATGAAAGATCAACCACTTTCTTCTCTAATACTAAATTGACTTTCCAGGCGGCTTTTCTCAGCACTTGAGAATTGCAGGTTAGGCAGTAAAACTAAAAACTATATCTGTGCTTAATTTTTGTTCTTACTTGTGAGTCTAATTTCCCCTAGATATCAATGTATATAAAAGGGCATAAGCATCTTTGTGAGAATGACTTCAAAGCTTTACCTGAACAATGTGCACTATATCATGGAAGTAGATTTCTCTACTAACACTGGATTATTTAGCAGTGATTGTGCACTTCTTAAAGAAGGTCTGACATGTACAAAAAAAGAAAGCTACTGATCTTGAAGATGTTCTCTGTCAGTAACAAATGTTAGTAAGCATGCCATCGCAAAGGACTGCACTGACAGTCTTGGATTCAAATGATGAGAAGGTGAATTTAAGCAGGTGAGTGTGCTCATCTCGAAGGAAGGAGGAAAAAGGCAAGGCAGATAATTAAAAGTTTCAATTTGCTGCATCACCTCAAAAATACCTAGTTAATGGAATATGAATAGTTCAGCTTTTCTCTACCAAAAATGTCTGAGTTCTGCCATTGAAATAACAGTTTATCTGAAGGATGATTCTTAGCATATGTTGTTCCCCTTGTTTTCTAAATTTATTTATTTACAGAATACATTTTTATTCCTAATTTTAGTTTTTGTTCGAAGGATTCCTTATTTCATTCACTATGGTCACACAGATTTGTCTATGGATGGAAAAACTATGGAATTTCTATTGCTTGTCAGATGCAGCAATATGGCCCTCAGCAGTGTTACTCAGAACCTGGTT